GAATTGCAATAAGAAAAACTAACCTGGAAAAATTCAAAAATTCTATCGAAATTGAAGCGTTCCCACCCCTAAAAATACTTTTTTACAGTTAATCTACTTCTTAAGTCTTCAACAGTGTCTGATTTTTATCAAAGAGTTTTAAATTTATCCACGTACTTCTCGCTAATTCCCTAACGGTTTAGTGTCAGGGCCTCGTTCCAATTCTAGTGCCATTTCGTAAAACCACTGTGACAGCTTTATTGGGCAGCGACTACATACTGTGACCGGAATCCCGGGAATCTGGAAGAATCCTCTTTCAGCAGAAACTTCCTGCCTACAATTTTTACTCATCTTGACCACTTTATAGAACGGTACCCATATAGTCACAACGATGTACATAGAAGGCAGGAAGCTGAGTACATAGAAGCATTTGCCTAATTGCTTTTCAAAAAAGTATTAGAGACCTAACGGTACTCACATCTTATTGACAATCCTACTCGGTTTTATTACTCGTCTGGAGCAAATACTATTCTCCTGCTTGTCAACGCCGCTACTGTTCATCTTCGTTACACTTCCCAACGAAATCACCAAATATACGCAAATTGTGCAAAACACTTTTCACATCTCCACCATTCTCCTAGTTGCCATCTTACTTTTGCCTAGTCGCTTTTTAAGTAAATATTAGAGATTATAATTCGTGTGGCAAGCAGTATTACAAAATCATTTCATTTTATCAACTTTGCGAACATCAAAAATGTAAGTAACAAGCACAAAAGCACCACCTGTAACTTTAAAAAACATAATCAGACAGCGTGAAATATTATACTTGAAAGCTAATGACAATGTTTGCTATAATTAAGCTGCAATCTGAGTGTAACATAAATGACAGAAAATTAAGATAACACAGTAACCTTACCATTTCGGGATCGTAATTCTCAGGCATAACAGAAAAAAAATTATGTACAATCTAAAAAGTAATAAATAAAATGGAAAATCATAACCGTAAGGTGTCACAGAAAAGTTGATAAACAAACAAAATTTTAGCGTGTTTCTATAACTTCCACTGGGTAATGCCTACTATAAGGACTACAAAGAACCACAAGTGTGCCTGCTGTATCAAAATTTCTTCCAGAGAGCATCGCCAAAAATCAACAGTTCCTTTAAATTCACCTATTGATATCTGGATTACCGCCTGCATGTCACTCCTAACAAATATGAAGAAAAAACATTTACTTTTACCAAGTAAGAATCTCAATCAAACTCGTTGAACGACGAACCCATCATGAACAAATGAAGACACGCATGCAGTAACTCAGCAAGGAAGCAACCCACATCCTGCCTGATACCCTTGGAGGAAAAGCAATAAGAGCACAAAAGATGAAAAGCATAAAAACTTTAGATAAAGAAGGAGCGAAATAAAAAGCTTATTTTTATGAACCTACAAGCACCGGCAGCTGCACCTAGATAAACATTACCTGCAATCCATCTTCGCTTTGAACAAGAAAGCATAATCAAAAGTACGCTTGAACGCAAGCAACAATGACAACTATAAGTGGTGGTCCAAACTAAGATTCAGCGTTGCCACACTGTAAAAAATTCAATTGCCACATAAGATCGTACATCATTCATCTAAGTCATATAAGAGAAATAAACGGCTACATCTACAACTTGCAAAGGTAAAACAGATCACACTGATGCTCGTTTAGCGATTAAAATCACTAATACCTACCTAACAAACTTCAGTAGAATGTAAACACCCCTAAAAAATTATAAACAAATAAAGGGCCATGACAGTAATTTGGATTAGTTTGAAAAATCCAAGCCATCAAAAAGGTACATTTTTTGACTCCAGACCCTTTACCTGCTTAAGAACTAAAAAGACCGGTTTCTACCTATTTTAGAAAAGCATTAAACTTCTTAAGAACATGCCCAATAATGCCACATTACGTATGGAAAACGATGTCAACGAGAAAAAGAAAAACGCAGATTGCAACGTATTAATAGTAAAAGAAACACAGTTGCTTGCCGCCAAATGCATTGTCTGGTTTAAACGCAGACGAGGAGGAATAAAAAAAAGCATCTTCTCAAAAGCCAGATAACCATTGTGAAAACAACAAGAACCAAGTTAGTGGGTATTAATGAAATCCCTAAATAAAAAACAACCAATTTTTTTTGAAAGTAGCGTAAGATATTCGTCTGCTATTGGACTTATGAGACCCAAATGTTCTCGACTTTTATCGCAGTAAGTTAAAATCCAGTGATTTGTTTAAGCGGGTCCGCAACAGATGTAGACGCTCTCGTAAACCTCTTCTTTCAGTCTCAATTGAGCAAACGTTCAACAGCTATAAGAAGAAAATTGAAGAAAAAAGTTATTCTAAATTACGAGGAAAGAATTCTAGCTAACAACACTCTGCTTCACTGTCTTCAAACGTTAGCAAGAACACCTTCACCTTTGCCTTAAATTCTTACAGCAGACTACGCAGTAAGCAATATTACCGGCTCCATTCTATTTAAGAGATAGTTGCGGTTCCAGAGAATTAGATTCATAGAGGGAATAGACAGCGAAGACAAAAATAACCCACTGTTGGTGATACATCACATATATAAATAACAAATAATATATAACAAATAAAAGTTAGAAACAAGGTAAAAGTGAGACGAATACCAGTACTTCAGAAAAAAATCACCTTCCAACCCTGCAACCCCTAAAAAAAGACGAACCTCCTCCCAATAAAATGTGCATCATGCTCGGCTTCACAAACAAACTGGGCCCATAAAGTGAAAATAAGCGAGTACTGGAACCATCAATGTTGATAACAGCAATGAGCAAGTTTAAATTCCCGCTTCAAAAATGTTGGACAATTGCCAGCGGTCTTGGAGTAGCCAAATGGTATCGAGTATTCCTTCCCTACTTTTAAAGGCCCCACGTTTTAAACACATTTTTTGACACTGGGTGTCGATGTCTTTCAGAGTTTTCAGGTTTTTAAACAATGACATTTATATACTTCCTTTACCAAATTTTTTGATTCGAGGGTAAGTTCGCTTAAGTTTCGTGCTGACTGCGGATTTGTACTTCTGCATATATATGTATATATACATATATGTATATGTGACGGCTGTGATTTTTAGTACCGGTGGAAAAATTGTTACTGGTAGAATTCTTCATGTAAAGTAGCTTCGTTGAAATCATTATGTCTTCGCTACCTATCAGGTTGAAAAATACATTCTTAGTGGTCATTTAAAAAATTCACGCCGTTTTTACAAGTTTTTGAGTACGGATATGGAAAACAGGAACTGCAATGATCATATTTTTGGCGGTGTTTATGAAACTTCAGTATTTATGCGAAAAGTAATAAGAAAGACAACGAGTAAATTATGAGAAGGTAGGGAAGCTTTGATATCTTGCCAGATATTCGTTTAACCTGACTACTCCCTGCAACCTGCCGCTCATCAAATTTACTAACTGCTTACACCTATATGTACAAGACCGTTCATTTCCAGTTTGGTGTGGAAATATTTGTCGCGGTGGTACCAGAATTATGGTAGCACAGCCGGCTGGCAACTTAGGCAAGTGTATGTGTAGGTTCATATTAGGGCATTTTTACCAGCCTTGCTGTGGAAAATTCTTGGTGATTTTGGCGCCATTTTGTTCGTCAAATTTTTGGTAACCTGTTGAATTTTACTGAAATCTAGTTTCCTCGCTGAGTTATTAGCCAAAATGTGTTCTTGCGTTAATTTTATTGGTTTAATATTTTTTTTACTTTTGGAATAAAAATAACTTTGTTCTGTCCATTTACCTACAACTTTTTTTCATTTTTGAATTTTACCAAGTATTCACCTAAAATTGTAAAATTACTTTTAAAATCAAATTTGTAGTTTTTCAAATAATGTACTGTTTAGGTTGGAAAGTAGGTCTCAGTTGAGTATATTTAGTGTATTTTTTCTGCCTGATGTGCAGCTGAGGTTCATTTTTTTAAAGCAATACAATGAAGTTTCCAATTATAGTTTAGTATTCGCTATTTTTTCTAGCATTTTTTGAAATTTTTTAGCTACTTATCTACTGTGTTTTTTCCAGACCATTTCATGACCACATTTTTCTACTACCTATAATTTATTTTCCTTCCTTCTTATATTTTCTTGAAGTATTTTGAATGTAGAGTACAATAACGGAAAAAAATAAGGTACATGGACACTTAACAAAGTTACTGCAATAATACTGTTGGAAGATATGTGTAAAAAATCGAGATTACTCTCAACTTTCAGCAAAAATCTAGGCATAAAATGGAAATTAATCATAAAACTGTAAAGCCAAACAGAGAAGACCTAAGCAATATACGGTAGTTGCCACTTCATTCACACACGTTATTTACGGATTTAGCATACTTTTACGGAGTTCATCCGGGTCGTCTCCGAATGTCTCCGTTTTTACACAATGGCACTGTGCCAAAGCCGCTGGAATTTGGCCATTGTAAGCGATATTTTGCTCTCAGAAAGTTTCATACCAAATTGGGACCGATGGCCTTATATACGTAGTTCTAGGAAGACGTACCAGGTTCGTCTGATGGATCACTAGATACTGGGAGAAGTGAGCTGCAGTTTTCAACAAAAGTAATGATAACTTTTTTAGACAGTCGTAATTTTTTTTATTGCTTTATACTGCCTTCTGGAATCCAGTGAAATGGTTCTTTACGAAGAATTCCTTTTGGTTTTTGCTTGATTATTAAGTTTTTCGTAATCTGAGGAAATTTTCTGGCACAGTTCTTAATGGTAGGCGATAGGATTTATTAAGGGGCCGAATTCGCTCTTTATACTGCCAGCCTAAATGTGGTTTACTTCCACCCTTAAATCCGGGATGTGTTTTAGTTGTATTTTATATTTGTTTGCGTGTGCTTTTTTTTTCTTGCTTTACTGTTTTTACAGATGTGCATTATCTGTTGGAAATAATAACGGTTGTGACAGTTTCTTAAATTATTCTTCTCATTCCTGGTGTGATTTATTTCAAGTAAGTTTAGGTGTCTATTATGGTAGCAGTTGAAGGGGTTGCGGTCGGGCTCGAGAAGGGCTTCAAGGTACACTCGCATAATTATTTTTTTTCAAGTACCTAATTTTCTGAATTGCCTGGAAATTTTTAGGTTGTGCGCCGGTTGTTCTTTAAGTCGTCTTAATTCTTTAGGTAACGAAAAACCCGCAAAAGAAGCCACGACAAAACAGAAGAAAAGGTAGAATAACGAAAAGAAATAAGATGATTAGAGAGCTGGTTAGGGAACTAGTTGGTTTTTCTCCGTACGAAAGACGTGCTATGGAGCTGCTTCGTATTAGGTTAATTTTTTGTACATTATTTCTTTCATTATTTAGATGATTTTATCATGAGTTATCAGTTAAATTGATTTCACTCATCACTTCGGAACTATTTCCAGCAGGGACAAAAAGGCGTTGAAATTCCTGAAGCGACGTATTGGTGCCCACAAACGAGCTCTAAGGAAACGAGAAGAAATGCAGGGCGTGTTAGTGCATATGCGTAAACACAGACAGGAGCACAAATGATTGAGCAATGCTTTAATGTTGTCGTCTTCTCTTTGTTCATCTTCTCCATAATTTGTCTTCTGTTTGTGTTGCAATGAAGTGGTTGTTGTTGATAATGAACTTTTTTGGAAGCTGAGTAGTTTTTTTCTTGCAGAAGTTACCTACACTAATCTCAGGGAGAGGTACTTAGCTTATGTGGACTGTTTGTTTTAAAATTTTTGGATATTATTGGGAAGCTGGAAATGTTTGCTCTGCATTACAAAGTTGTTGTAGACAATGTTAGCTCAAAGTATGTGGTAAAAATTGTTTCCAGTTTTTACTTTCGTTCATCTAACTGCCGCTTGCGACATTCGGGTGGTTTTCATCCACGCAGTTTTTAAAAGAGATGAGCAATTGAGTAATCAACATGCACCTGTCGTTTTGAAACATGAAGAGGAGAGTTTTAAGGTCTGTTGTTAGGTCGCATGGTTGAGGTGTTATGTTGGTTAGGGAAACTATAAATAGGCAGAGCAAGTGGCGTTTTAACGTGGTAACGTTTTCCTAACAACCACTACTTTAGGACAGTGGAAAAGATTGAGAAGTCAGGCTTTTAGAAATGCGAACAACTTAGTTTTTTTCCATTGTCAGAAGAGTTGTTTATCTAAAGTTAGTTTCGTAGACATTCTGTCGGTTTTTGTTTTAGACTTCTGTTCCACGCATGGAAGGTTTTGGGGGGTTAAATCATTTTTGGTTCCCGGAGGTGATGGGACAGCATCGTCAATTTTATGGTTAAGCTCAGAAGTTGTAGATGTTAATTTAGTCGGTTTTTCGCAGTCGTTCTTTATTTTTATTTTTTTTTCATTGATTAACAGATTCCTCTTTGTGGGCAGTTGCTGTAATGCTTGGACGAAGTACAGCATTAGTTGCACGACGGGTAGCTTCTCTGTTGTCTTTGAAGCAGTGTGTGTGCACGCTATGTCGTCAACTTCCAAGGGCTTCTGCAAACAGGCTGACGGCAGAGCCTACATCAAGTGTGTTTTATGAACAAAAAAGATGTTCTCAGATTGAAGTCTTTGGTCCCCTCGATCCTCCGAAACAACTGACTTTCAAACAGGTACATCGTTTGCGGCGCGGCGTCATTAGTTCTGCAAATTTTAGTGCGAAGTGCGCTCTAACTGACTATTTTGAAAGTAGAGGACGCCTAGATTGAAGGCGTTTATTATTTTATTGCTCTTGTAAGATTGAAGCCAATTTCAGTTTCTTTCATCGTAAATAACGGGGGGAGTGGATTGATTTAAAGGAGGATATTCTTTCAGGTGGAAGATCGCGTCCTTAAGGCAATTCGGGCTTGGGATCGCTGGCCACAGGACAAAAATGACGTGCTAAACTTAGATGCGAACTTTGTGAATGATTTAGGGTTGGATTCACTAGATCATGTTGAAGTTATTATGGCGCTCGAAGACGAATTTGGCTTCGAAATTCCAGACATCGACGCTGAGAAAATGAAAACACCACGAGATATATTCAAATATATTTGTGAACGCGAAGACGTTTTTGAATGATTTGAGTGCAAGAGTTTTCATTTTTGTGTGTGTAATAAAGAAAGCAGTAAGCATTTGCTGTACATTGACTTTGTATGTAAAATTTTTTTTATAATAGGTATAATGGCATATTTTGAAAAGTACGTGTTGCTCATTGTCCATTAGTTTAGCAGAGATTAAAGTTTGTAGCTTGTATTAACAAAGAAAACTGCTAAGCATCGAATGTATCCTATCGTTTCTCAGTTGGAAAAAGCGCTAACAAAGTTTTTATTCTCTACCTGAAAACGGTTTCATTTTCTTTGAGTGAAAAATAAAACTGATTCAAGGTAGGGAACAAAAACCCATATTTTTTGCAGCTATGGCTGGAACATGGTGGCGCGACATCAGCGGAGATGAGTGATGCAAATGCAAATGCAAGTGCACAGCTATAGGGGTTTAGAAGGTCGTCCGTAGAAATAAAAGAAATACTTATTTTGACTGGTCTTTACAACTGTTGAAAAACACGATTTTCAAACAACGAATCCTAAATTCTTTTGGTAGTATTTTTGATGGCACAGCAGTAGTGGCGAAGGAAAGCATCAGTGATGATTTTGTAGGCTGCGTCGTTTTGTGAACGAAACCCGCCGAGAATTTGACGCAGACTGCCTGCGAGTGATCATAAATGATGTGTCGGGGAACTCGAATGGCGCGTTCAAAATTGTCTAGATTGATCGCCGGTCGCTGTTTCGCTGATCTCCGGACAAAATTGTCTAGATCGATCGCCAGTCACTGTTTCGCTGATCTCCGGACTAACTTGAGGGGTATCCTGAGCCCTGAAATAGCACAGGCTGCTCAGCAGGTACCGCCTTGCCTGTCAACGGGCACTTAGAGTAGGCTAAAAGGGGCCAAAACAAGTAGTGAGTGGGTTACTTTCCCATCACACGCGTCGGGCTGAGCACTGCTTCTGTGCATACACACTGGAGCAGACCGCTTTTTGCACAGAAGCGCTGCAGTTTTGCTTCAGCTTAACTTACTTGACTGCTTGTCTTAAATCTAGTTTTCCAGGCTTTTGTTGTATTCCTTATCCGTAAATAAAACAAAAATGATACTACATATTTATATACTTAGTTCCATTTCAAATTAGGCCGAACTTTATTCAGTTGTTATACGAGAATCTTTCAGTTTTCACAAACTTGCACTGTTTGACCTCAGTTTCAAGAAATTAAAGTGGAGATAAAGAAAAGCCAGTTTTCCGCTGGATTATTTCTCGTCAAACATTTTATTTCTCCTTTTTTTTTTGTTCCACCAAGGCTTCAGGTTTTATAACTTTTTTGCTTATGGATAAAACTTGCTAATTCCAAATTCAAGTGTTTTTCTCTTAGGTTTGCTGCCAAATTATTTTCCACCAAAGTTGGAGGAATCGTCAAGGACTGCCCCGGCATAACTACAGTCTAGAAATCTTTACTTCGTGTGAGCTGATTCGCTTTACAGCCAATGTTCTCCCTTTTTAAGTTAATATACAAGTATCCAAATTCACAGAAGGTATGAGGAAATACGCAAGGAACGAATGTCTGCAGCACTATCATAAAAAAAAATTTGCTTTCAAATTTTCTCCAAAAAAGCGTATTTAATGTACAGAAGCTTGGGATCTATAAATACTGATATCAGGGCGATGGAGCAACAGATTATTGAAAAATGAAATAATGTGGGGCAATAAAAACCCCCGGACAGCAGATCTGCATCGTCATGCCGTTTGTGCGATTTTTAAATCTGGCCGCAGACTTCCAATCTGCTTTAAAAAAGTACTGAGCCATTGACCTAAAAGAGTTTGCGATTTCGCATAGGATCGCCCCAAGCCACACCTTATTTCAGGAACTCCTATTAAGCGAAATGCGTGTACTCGGCTTCCCCTCAATATCCACTTAGGTTTTTTCGCAAACAAAAAAGAACTGCAGGAGATGTGAGCATGACTCCGACTTGTTTCGGCACCATTTCACGTTTTAGTTATTCATTTCTTTTGAGAGAGACAGGGAGAGGAAGAGAGGTCTTCAGAAGACTTAGTGGTGTTTTGGTGTGTCAAGTTTTACTTTCCGGAATTTGTGAAAAATAAACTTTCCAGTTTTAAATTAGAAAATAAAACTTTTAGTAATTTTTTAGAAAACCCCATTTATTTTTATGAATCACTTAGTAACTGCTTAGATGCCCTGGTTTGGAGGATTAACTAGTACGCTTTACAGCGCTGAGTTAATCTTTACTGCTTCATCTCAACGGTGTGAAACAGTTCCCTGGTTCTGCTGACGGCTTCTTGGCTACCTCGTGTATTAACAGAAATTTTTTCCGCAACAGTTTTAATCTGACTGAAGTTACAGCATTTCCAACAGTCTAGAGAGTTTGCTAGCATATGGGTCGCAATCACCCACCACACTTCTCAAAATCCGCGTGACGTGCATGCTCTGACTTTAAATCCATCAGATAACAAATTTCATCAGTTTTTGGAAAATAAAGCTTTTTCACAAGTCGAGCAGTCGGACCCAGGTTGTGGATGAACTCTTTCATTCTTAGAGGCCCTAGCGAACACTTTTCTTGCCGCCCGCTCCCTTGCACAGCTGTTTATTCTCGTAACGCCGATCAGCAAATCAGTAAAACGTGAAATTTTGAATTCTTGAGAGCACATTTTCTGAACGTTTTTTGAAGGCTATTCAAGATCTTCGATTTATGACTTTAAGATGAGGGGAATCACGTCATGTAGGTCCTGTTATGTGCTTTGAAAGTTTGTGGTATACACTACTCGGTTTCCCAGAAATCTAGAAAAAGGAATTTTGTTTATGACAGAGAAATTCAGGGGCGAGCTGGCACCCCGTGAAACGCAAATTTTTTCCAAAAGAGAACCAATCGGGAGCAGAAGTGGAACCGGGCAAAAGGAAATCCGTTCATATATAAAAGCTTCAAAAGCGAATAAGTTTTTTGTTGAGATAAATAAAAGTGGTATTGGCTAAAATGTAAATGGTTCTGTGAACTGTGTGGAAGATCGTTCCAACTAACAACTGCAGACTAAAAAATTAGCGGAAACAAAGCTGTTGAAATGCATATAATTTTTGCCACTCTAAAGTTGGTTTAGAAGGGAACTTCAGCAAAAGTATACAAAAGGATCATTTTTCTCAAAAAGATGTTTGAAAAGAAAAAAGCAGTATTTTCAGTTCCACATTTCATAAAGCTAAGATAGTGCTCTGTTTAGAAAAACAACACTAAAACGTTTATTTAATTTTGTCTTTTTTAGATCAGTGGTTAATCAACCAGTATTTAATTTCGAGCGGTAACTGTTAATGGTTGGCAAGCTGGAAGCATTCATCAGATTACCGCAGCGATGAGAAAAATCCCAACGAAAGAAGAGAACTTGTGCGTTTGAGGCAATAAAGTTAGCATTCTGAATTTCTATGGTCGTTGTTATTAAACATAACAAGAGCTTATTAGACCACACATCATCAGAAAAGAGGTGTAGCGGGAAGCTACAAAAAGTAAGACAACACCGCGCACTAGAAAATCGGAGGAAAATGTGTAAGTAATTCTCAAATTATGAAACGTTAATCAACCACGTCAGTGTTCAATGAGTTAGCTAGGTTTATCAATAAACAATAGAACGTTTGCGGGTAGGAACGCTGGACTAAAGCAGCGCCTTTTTTTCTGCATCGAATGTCTTAAACTTCTATTGGCAATGTTCTCCCTTTTGTAGCAAGAATATGTTCGCGATGGTTTCCCGGATGAAAGTTGACCTGTTGTAGATTTTGGCGTACGTTGGTTTTGTCCTCATTGTAAGGCTATGGAGGGTTGTTTCAATCTCAGTTGATGTAAGGCTTTTAAAATGAGAACGGAAAATTATACGAAACTGCTCCCTAACCCAGGCAGATTCGCAAAGTTCTCAAGAATTAACACTTTCTTTACGAATCACTGACTGCTTCTACCAAATTCAGCTACTTCTTTCCAAAACATTTGTGGAATGTCGCTAACTGGGGTTTGTCCTCACTTACCACAAACAACGGCTTGCTTAGAAACCTTTACGTTTTTACACATTAAATGTGGAAAAACAAGCGCACTGCGAAAAAACGTTTTAAATCATTTTCTAATTGCGCAATTGTACCAGAGTCCTTTCACATTTCCCTAAAGGCTGTACAGCTGGAAAAGCTGTATAATCGTTAAAAATGAAAGCACGTTTAACACATGTAGCTTTAAATGACTTGCACTTTAACTTTGATAAAAGTGCAATTTCTCGTGACAACTGAAGTCTGGTCGGAAAATGGTAGAAACCATTGTGCACTATGGCCGTGTGCCAAACTGTTCGAAAGTTCTACCTGAAGACGTTACAGCTGTGTGAATTCATTTATATTATGTATTTTATATAATATATAGTATGTAACGTATAATATATAACGTATAATATATAACGTATAATATGTGACGTATAATATATGACGTATAATATATGACGTACAATATATAACATATAATATATGATATATATTATATAATATATATCACATAATATATAATAAATAATA